TGTAGTTGGATTCATAACAGCTTCTTTTATTAAGTAAAGACAATTTCTTAATACCAAAATACCAAATATCCAAATAAGCAGGATTTTATTGGAGAAGTATTAAGTTGCCATGGGCACAGCTGGCTTTGAGCATTTATCATTTGGCTTTGACATCAATTTTAGGTCTTCTCATGGGCCCTGTGGTCATCCTTTAGTCTCTCTCTTACCCAGCACGTCACTAGATCCCTCTTAAATATTTTCTATACCACCCACTTTCCTCCATTCTCACTGCCAGTTCCCTAGTTTAGCCTACCACGGTCTCTCTCCCTGACCCATATTATTTACCCTCGCTCTCTTCTGTTATCTTTTCCATAACACAGAGTCTCAGCTCAGGCTTTCATAACAGAATGCCATACATTCTGGTAGTTTAAACATCAGAAATATATTTATGATGTGCCAGCATGGTTGGGTTCTGTTAAAGAGTATAGTTTCAACTGATGAATTTTAGGGAGATACACACATGCAGACCATAACATGCCACATCGGTGATCTCTGAAAAACGCCAGTTGGCTAAAGTCAAATCCCTGCTTAAGGCCTTTGCTGTGGCATACAAACTCTGCATTACTTGGGCCAACTTACCTCTCTGGGTTCACCCAAGCTGCTCGCTTTTGCTGAGCATAGTCTGGCCATATTGATCTTTATTAACTTCAACTTCCCAACCCTGTCACTTTTGCACTGTTTTCCACTGCTACTTCCCACTCTTATCTAGTTGGTTCCCAATGACTTAACAAATATCAGCAAAACTTCACTTTTCAGGGAAATTTACCTGCCAGACCAGGCTATGATCCCAAGTTGTGTTTGTTTTTTTGTTGTGTTTTTTTTTTAATTGATTTTTTTTGGGGGGAGAGAGAGAAATATCAATCAGCTGCCTCCTGCAAGCCTCCAAACAGGGGTCAAAGCCTGCAACCCAGGCATGTGCCCTGAATGGTAATCAAACCAAAAACTCTTCAATGCACTGGACGCCACCCAACCACCTAAGCCACACTGGCTAGGGCAATGACCCTCAGTTTTATACTTTCAAAGATATCTTTGATTTTCCTTTCAAGTTTTAATCACCATTTTTAACTAATATGTGTTTTTATTTGTGAGATTATTACTCATTATTTAAATTTATTGTACACCGTAAGAGTACACTAAATTGTACTAGACTATGAGCTCCATATCCCAATAGCTCACCCCTAGAGCCCCCTGCTGGATTCATATTTCTTAAATAAATTGAATATTGGGTATATCAATCCCACCATGCCCTTCTCCTGGTCCTTTGGGATCATCCAACTATGTAATTTGGAGCATTGTAAAAGAGCAGGGGTGGAGGCCTTACCAAGTATCTAATCTCCACCCCCACTTTGTATAGTAAGCGGAGAAATAAGACTAGAAGGCAAATTGAGAAAAGTCATATAATGAGCTTATACAAAATCAGCACTAAAAATCAGGTTTTTGGTTTCTCAGTTTTCTGATATTTCAGAAAATCAAAGTTTTCCGTTTCCATTTTCTTATCTCCAATTTTTAGATTGACATCTTTTCTCTGTTTATAATTTAATATTGGTAGAGAAACATATTCTTATCTTATCAAGTAAAATATGGTTTGTTATTAAGGGTTGTCATTCAGGTTATATCTACCCAAGAAACATGATTAGAAAACTTAATACACCTTGACTTCAAACATTGGTCATCAGATATTTTAACTTTGCATTTTAAACTTGTTGAGCATTTTGGTCCCACCATTAAAACCCAAAAATGATTTTTAGCCTGTGTTAGTTAATACAGAAGCATTAATCATAATTATGCTAATGTTAATTAATGTACCTCAAGAAAGAATTTACCAGAGCAAATTCCATCAAGCTAGTTTAATTCCTTAATCAATTTTGTAAACAGTACATTTGAGACCATTTCTGAACTTTTTAGTTTTTCTTAAAATTATTGTGTGTGAAATAATTTCTTCATGTATAACACAGGTTTGATACATCATAAACTTTTCTATCTCCAATTTTACCGATAACTTCAATCATTGAAATTTTTTCTGTTGTGTCCAATTTCTGTCAAATCCAATTTTCCTGTACTAAATTATGCAGATATAATTTTTTCTTTCAGTATTTAGTTCATAGCTATTTAGTGTTAAGCACTTTAAGTGTTTACTATTTTTTATAAAATTGAATTTCTCTCAGCCAATTTTTTGAGTTTTAAAGAGGTATGATCAAGTTTTGTTATTATCTTTATAGTTAGTTTCATCTACAATAGATTTTGCTCTCTACCATTTATTCTCTTAGAAGGTTTATTTTCTGGTGATTATTTCTATCATTTAAATGCAATTTACAGTGGGCAAAAATCTGTTTTCTTTTACTTTTTTCTTCCTTAATGATTTTCTTTGATATTCTAGGATCGCTCTGCTTTCCTGGTAGAGAATGGAAGTAGCTAAAGACAATCATGTTTTGGTTAGATTGTTACTTTATGACATTTTAAATTGGGAGAGAAAACAATTTAGCTCGAACACTTCTCATCCCAACCCTCATTTCATAGGAAACAAGGAAAATCAAGGGCCAGAGAGGTTATCTAACTTGCCCAGCATCAGAGAGAGAAACAGATGTTAAGTCTCCTGACATACAGGACACTTACAGGGGAAAGCATGACCAAAATGAGCTTCAAACTTGAGTACACTTTCCAGAGAGAAAAAGCTGGCTCTTTTGCCACTATGACAATGAAGTGCATTTGAGATTTTTTTGAAGAGTTTACCCCTACCTGTGCTACTAGGAGAAACAGAACCATGGAGCTGATTCAAAACACTTTGGATAGATCCTGTCACAAGCTTTATAAGTTTCTGATGGATTATGAGGAATTAAGTTATTGGGCAGAGAACTAGCTAATGGAAACACATTGATGAAATCATTTTTGAGGGACATTAAATGGAACTTAAAGCTGAAGTGGCTTTATGGATTTTTCACTCAAACTGTTTATGAACATTTATTGCTAGTAAATTATATTGTGTCAAAGAAGGAATAAGTAGGTATGGCTTTAATAGAAACCTTTTTGAAATAATAAAATGGAGAATAATTTATTATTCAAGAATGGGTAGAGAAGGTGGGATGAGGGAACTGATGCTAATGGATGTTTCTGGGAAAATGAAAAGCGATGTGAAAATCAGAAACCTGTGATAGTACTTGAAAATTGTCTTTTTGAAAAGTATTAGAAACTCATCTCAGTATACATAGAAACTTTTTTAGAAGAGGGGTGACAGAAAGTAGCAAGTATTACTTGAGGATATAACATTTGTATTTGTTTGTATCTCATAAAAAGATGAGCAAGTAGAAAGGACTTAATCTGCTAGAAAAAGATAGTGTGTCATAACAGTCAAGGTCATCCATTCCAGTGCTGAAATAGCTCCATTCAAGTCTTGGCTCTCTCTCCTTGCTGTGTGACCTTAGGAAAATTTCCTGACTTCTCTGAGTCTCAGATTCCACATCTATCTATCTATCTATCTATCTATCTATCTATCTATCTATCTATCTATCTATCTAAAAGCCTAAGCGACCGAATGAACGACACATTGGTGGATCAGTCACTATGATGTGCACTGACCACCAGTGGGCAGATGCTCAATGTAGGAGCTGCCCGCTGGTGGTCAGTGCACTCCCACAGCCAACCTCCCATGACTGGCCAACCTCCCCCCATCCAATTGGCCTGATTGGCCCAGATCACCGGCCAGGTGCAGGGACCCCACCTGTGCACTGGACCTCTAATCCACAATAATAATAGATATTTGTAGTCCCTATCTCACACAAAATATTTGCTTAGAATAATAGTTATTATTCACTGGGATATTCTTTGAATTGACTATATGTAATGTTAAGTCCAGTTATTATTTTCTGATTTTACTTGCAATAGTCTTTTACTCATATCAGAAAGATGAAATCTTTCCACAGTTGCTATAAAAGTAAAGAAATCAGTTCATCCTCCTAGGCTCATCAGTATGCCAGGATAAATCTGGATTTGGAATGACAGCAGTTAATGGAGGATTTTTAGATGCTATAATAATTGCAGGAGGTTCTAGAAATTCACATATGAATGAAAGATATTATTCTGCCCCTTCTTATGGCATCAAAGAACTACCAAATAAGTAAAAATAGACACATTTGCCTCAAAGTACAGGATATTGCCTAGCGAAGTTTAATTGAAAAACTAATATCCACTGCCATTGTCTGTGATAAACTGAGACTTAAATGATTTGAAAACAGTTTGGGAGCAGACAAATCAGATAATCACAATCTTTATAGCTAGAAAGGTTCAGCTGGCATTGACAAGTTGTGAAGATAAAGGCTTATAGCAAAGTCAACAGCTAAATGTCTAGACTGGGTTGGGGATCAATGATAACACTCAGAGTGTAAAAGTGCTGAACTTTAAATGATCCCTCATATTGTTGTGTTTAACTTTCCCAGATAATAATAGTGTAGAACTTTATTTACTGAAAAACTTCTGCCAAATTGTCATTAAGCAGATACCTCGCAGTCTTACGGTGCCTTCCACCATCTAGCTTTTCTGCCACTGCCTAGGCGTTGTGTTCTGTGGTCTGTGCCCTGGCTGCACTCTGAGGGCTTCAGCTGCTGCTTTTCCAAACATTTCCACTTGGGTGACTATGAATCGTTTATGAGGGACCAGCGTCAGACTGTGCCAGTTCTAGGCATCTTTTTTAATTCTTTCTTTTTAAGCCAGCATGGAATTTGCCTCATGGCCTCACTCTGATCTCAGCAGGAACACTTTCAGAAGAGGTTCCTTGTTTTTTTCAAAGGCTGTTTGCATGAGTTGATTTAATACTCTCCTATTATGGAGGCCGAAAGCCAGTGGCAAAAAAAAAAAAAGTATGTGTGTATTGAGTTGTGTCTAGGATTCACTGCATTTAGCTGATTGTGCCCCCAGGTAACACATCCAGCAGTCTCCAACTTCTGTTTGCTTTCTTCTCTTGTTTACAGGAGCAGAGGGCACCGTGTTCCCCAAATCAATAGAGACACCTAACGTCAGGGCAGAGCCCTTCAAGGAACTAAGGTAAGCTTCTGACTTTGCATTCATCGATTTAGCATGTTTCCTTTCTCTGTGCCGCGGGCTGATGATCCATTTTGAATCCGTGTAATGTAACAGCATCACAGCATGAATATGTAAACCGGAGAAGTTAGAAACAAGAAGGTAAGCTGCAACCAGGAGAAAATGTTCTCTGAAAACCTGACATTGATGGTTTGGAGGAAGAGCTCGTCCACCGTATCATTGTGAGGTTTAGAATTGATTGTTGCAGTGTGTGTTGCTTGCTGTATTTTGTGGTACCAAAAACCTACCCAGTTAGAGAACTCATGAGTAATCGGTGCTGGTCAGCCCAAAGAAGAGTGGGGTCTCTGAGAAGCTGAGCTCTGAAAGCAATGCAGATTTTTATTTTCTCTGAAATGATATGGTGGTAGAACTACCTCTGTGGGTAATCCGTGTACTGGTTGGCATTCCTCTTCAGGTGTCTATCTGGGGGCTGCCTTTAGCAGAAAAGGAATCTACATTGTGTACTTACCACCAATGATGGAAAACCAAAAAGAACAATAGACATACAGGCAGACAGATAGCTAGATAGACAGAGATAGAGAGTTGGCTTAAAAACCATTCCTGCCACCTTTCCAAAAACATAAAACATGTATGATGACACAAATATAAATTTAATTGTTACTGTATACCTGTAGCCATGAAAGGTTCGGTAAATGCTGGCTGTCTTCATTTCCCGTAGTTGTTTTAACTAAAAGTGGTCATAGATCATCGTAGCTAGCATGGAATAACTACTTCGGAAGACATCTGCCGTGAGATACTGTACTTGTATTATACAATCTGCTGTTTCACAGTGCAGTCAGTCCCAATACCTGTGTTTTTTTGAAAACACCCAAGATCAGGTTGGAGCTTATTTCCTTAAACAGAAACACATTCCCAGTCAGTAGAGACTATATCACCTCATTACAAAACCCACAGCCTTCTTGCAAAGCCTGTCTTGTCTTGATGAATATAAGGAAATAAATTGGGCCAAAGGAAGAGGATAATGGGTGGGGATGAAAACCTTCCCTTAGCAAAACCCCACCTAAAGTGGGCTGTATCTTTAAGATTATACACCATACTGCGAGGTTTTATATTTTACTAGAATAACTGTTGTCATTGGGGCTTCCAGATGTCAGAAGTCACTGAGTATCTGTTAGCTGGAGCCTATGTTTCCTATTAGACACTAAAACTGGAATCTTCTAAGCCAGTGTTTCCCAAACTTTTGACATATATGTACCCCTTCTATAATTTTCGTAACGCTGAGTACCCCTCGTACTCATGAGAACGTAGAATTAGGCGCAGCTAAGCACGGTGCAGTGTATATCCCCACCAAACTCCGGTGCAACGCGTATCCCCACCAAACTCTTCCCGTACCCCTGGGGGGGTACACATACCACACTTTGGAAAACACTGTAAGCAAATCTACCCAAGGAGTCCCGTGTTTTAGGAGAGAACATGTACTATCTGTGTAGTGAATCCTCAGGTCTGTGATGTAAAAGCCCTTTCCAGACCAGCTAAGAGGTGGCCCGGGTCACTTTGTTTTCACATCTTCCTTAGCAGCAGGGTTGTTGTTGTTGTTATAATTATTATTATTATTATTTTGCAGAGCTAGTCAGTAATTAGTGCTGATCTGTCCAAAAGATAAGTGTTGTCTAAAAGAAGCTGCACTCTCTATGTAATACAGACTTGTTTCAATGGAACAAGCTCTCCATTACATGAAAGACTTGAGAAATATGAGTTGCTGGGTTTAGGCTCACTTTGCTTTAAACAGAAAAATAAATTTTCTGTAGTTATAAACAAACCCAACCCACACTAAACATAAAGACAACTCTCTAAGCATCAGCCCACTTTAGGACATAGAACAGAGTATTTGCTCATAAACTGCTATCGACACACATCCTTGATATACAACCTATGAGAACCCCTGGAACTCACCTTAAGTTAAACCTCTACAGTCACAATGAAATTTCTAATTTAATGCAACTAAATAAGGACTTCAGGTAGTTGTTTATTCTAAAATTATAGGTATTTTATTTCTAGGGGCTAGAAATAAAATTTTATGATAAGAAGCATAAATGATTTTAATATGCAATTTTAAAAATGGTGTTTTGTTTGAATCTGTTCAAATCATGGAGATATTTGATAACCTGAACTGAGTGAGGAGCCTAGAATGTGATCATTTAGCCCCTTCATCCTTGGGAATTTTTTTTTTTCTTGATAGTACGTTGTGGGAGAATCTCTGATCAATTGAAAGGATGATGAAATGTGGTGGATTGATTAGTCTAGATCAGTTTCATATTTATCATCTAATGGTGCCATATTGTACTCTGTGCTACTGATTGGAATTGACCTTGGCTATTGAGTTGGCAGGCAATGAACTTGGTGACTGAGCCTCCTAGCCTCTGGCTTTACAGTTGGATTCATTTTACTAATTCAGCACATGCATGGTGGTGTGTCTTCTGGGCTTAGGAAAGTAGAGTCATCTAAGGGAGGTTCCTGGACTTGTACCAGCAGGTGACAATGAGTAAACTGTTCAGGTGAAGCAGAAGCAGTGACTCCATGACTCCTGGGAGGCAGCATGATGGAGGGAAAAAAGCACTGAGCTGCAAGTCAGGGACTATTGCAAACCTACCATGTGGCCTTGAGCTAATCCTAGAGCCCTGCTCTCTGTAAAAAGCCAGGTCACTTCTAACTCCAAAGAGCTAATTCCTTTATAATATAGATGATTGATAGATAGATAGATAGATAGATAGATAGATAGATAGATTTTATTGGCTACCTTCTGCATGCCCCTTTCTGAAAATTAAGCCAAAAACTTGGGCATGTGCCCTAACCAAGAATGGAACCAGTGACAGCTCAGTGTATGGGACAGTGCTCAACCAACTGAGTCACACCATTCAGGGCTATAGTGTTTTTGTTTTACTTTTTATTTTAAAATAAATTTAGATTTAAAGAAGAATTGCAAAATTCATACAGATTATTTCCATGTTCCTTTTAATTGTTATTCTCTAATGTTAATATCTTACAGATCTATGGTATATTGATTAAAACTAAGAAATTAATATTATAGTCCTTTAAGACCTTATTTTACATAAGATTTGTTTAAAAGGATGCAAGTACCTGAGTGTCTTATAAATTAAAAAAAAAAAATACACAGAAAGGAGATTGCCCTGGCTGGGTAGTTAGCTTAATTGGTTGGGGCATTGTTCCATACACCAAAAGCTCACAGGTTTAGTTCCCAGTGAGGGAACATAACTAGGTCAGAGTGCATAAAGAGGAGGCAACTAATCTATGTTTCTCTCTTTTCCTTCCCCTTTCTAAAAAGTAATAAAAATATATCCTCAGGTGAGGGTTTTGTTTTTTTTTTAAAAAAAAAAAAAAAAAAAAAGGATGTAACAAAAAGGTCATTTGAGATGTGAATTATTGGATCTTTAAAGTCCCCAATGCAGTTAAGTTGGAATGATTTTAATAAGAGTTTTTAAAAATAATATATATAATATACTCAGATGTTCTTGGTCTTACTTATTAATGGGAAACAAATTGAATTAAAAGACCACAGCTTATTTATACATAGACTGTCTTCTAAAATAAGCAAGCAAAACTTGAACATCTAACATGTCCCTCACTTAATCTAATCAATCAAATGTAAGAAAACAGTATCTGTTAGGATAATTTTTGTTTCCTCAAACCTCTACCTTAGCTGCTGGGAGGGTTTTGTTTGTTCTCTCATTTTTGTTGTTGTCCTTGTTTGCTTGATTGTTAATGAAAGGTAGATTTTAGGCCTCTAGCATTTCTTCCTAAAAGATCTCCACTCTCAAGGAATAGGCTAGTAGCTTCTTTTCTGCTAGAATTTTGGTTTACTGCTTTTCTTTCCAGAGTTACTATAATTACCATACTGGTAGAGTTGGCTTAAGGTGTTTGTAAATAATCCAGGGTTGAGCTGCAAATCACAAAAAGATGGTTGTTTCTCTTTAGACAAATAATGAGCATTAGTGAGGTCTGCACCCACCCCCCACCCCCATCTGGGACAGTGTTTGTGGACCATTCTGCAGGGCAATTCTGAAATAAGGACATGTCACTTCAGATTCAAGACTATACTTAAAAATGTACCAGCAGCCTTAACCAGTTTGCTCAGTGAATAGAGTGTTGGCCTGCGGACTGAAGGGTCCCAGGTTTGATTCTAGTCAAGGGCATGTACCTTGGTTGCGGGCACATCCCCAGTGGGGGGTATAGAGGAGGCAGCTGATTGATGTTTCCCTCTCATAGTGTTTCTAATTCTCTATCCCTCTCCCTTCCTCTCTGTAAAAAATCAATAAAAAATATATTTTAAAGTGTACCAGCATTATACCTATCCTTGAAATTTAAAAAAAAAAAAAAAAATTTAGCCGAAAACAGTTTGGCTCAGTGGTAGAGCATTGGTCTGCAGACTGGGAGGTCCCAGGTTCAATTCCGGTCAAGTGGGGGCATGTACCTTGGTTGCTGGCACATCCCCAGTAGGGGGTGTGCAAGAGGCAGCTGGTCGATGTTTCTCTCTTATCCATGTTTCTAGCTCTCTATCTCTCTCCCTTCCTCTCTGTGAAAAATCAATAAAATATATATTTTTTTAAAAACAAAAACATTTTGAATAGAAACTGATTTTAATGAATTCATGATTTTAGAATATGACTATTTTAAATGTTCTCTTGTTCGCTGCTTTTCTTCCTGGAGTCTGTATAAACACATATGAAAAACTCCCTGATCTCAGGTTGTGCATGATCTGGAACAGGCCCTGCATATGTATTTTCTGTCAGAAAGGAGGAGGATACCTACCTTATTCTAAGTATTCTTTTCCATTGTGACGTTTCCTTGTAGGATTCTGATCCTAAAGGACCAAGAAATAGAGTGTGAAATCCTATTCCCCACACATGTGTTAGGGCAAAGGAAAAGAAAGAGAGGAGGTTATATAAACTGCTGTACATATAGAACCAGCTCTGTTCTCTAAATAT